ATTAGAGGAAAAAATAAATAAAAGAACAAGGTGACTTGATATCGAAGTGATAAGCAAAAATCCCAACCCGATCACATCAATACTTTCCTCAGGAGCACGGAGGTGTCTAACCTTGTAACCAATGACAGTGGTTTTGTTGGCTCACTGGGAGTTTTTCCACAGAGCATGCTTCGTCATTTATTGGTGTGTGCAGCATCTGTTTTCCTTACAATCATTCCTGTTGCTCTTGAAACCCTGTTGACCTACAGGTCCAGCCGCATAAATACATTTCTGAAACATTGATGCTGACTATTTCACAGCTTTCCAAATCCCTCCATCAGCTTTTCAAATTAAAGGTCACCTCTAAGCAGCACTTAATGGCTTTGTGTCCGTTTCTCTGGCAGCTGTGCAGGGTTTTTAGAATCTAAATGGTAAGGTTCAACACCCCTAAACTCAGATATAGGTTTAAATAGGATTTTAAGAAAGAATATCACAATTACTGACAGACAATAACACTTTCAAATATTAGAATAGAATAGTTGTTGATCCATATTCAGCCTTTTTCATCTGTCCTGGTTCAACACTGACTTACTTTAAACAGCAGTGTTGCAGTCTGTTAACCCAAAAAAGTTTTTTTTTTAAACTTTAATGTGAAAAAGTTCTGCAGACTTTGAGATTTTCTAATTTCAACAGACTCCTCCTAATTAATCTTACTCAAGAAAACATCTGCCATGAATATATGGGTCAGTCTCCATTGTAAAGTTTTATTTATTTTGTTTTTTAGGGGTATGCATCAAACAAGTACAGCAATTTAAAGTTGCAACTCCTAATCTCTCTGCAGTTTGTATAGTGAGTCCTACTTTGTATTATACTTCGCATTGTTACATGTAATTTATTGTATTTTTTCCCTCTCGTTTTAAATCCCAGTAATCTGTTGACTTCATGAGTCTTAATTTTCCACAAAAAGTACTGAAAAATACTGAATTATTGATAATTTTTGTTGTTCTAAGAACAATTTATCAAGATAAATAAGTAGCATGGATATCCTGACATGATCAGCTCAGAATAAATACTTAGTAATTAAAAAAGAAGAGTTTGAAATTATTTTGAATGAATTTAAAAATACTTTTTTTTAAATTCATTTAAAAAAAAGTGAAATGATGAAACCAATCATGAAAAATATTTATCAAATACATCTGCACATAGAATTATACATTGTTCTAATTCCATATACACAACATTCATTGAATTCCCTTACAAAAACAGCTAATTATGTCTTGTGTTTGGTATGTGCAAGAATGACCAAATAACTACAATGTAGAATAAAAGAAAAAGTCGTTTTGCTATCTAGCAGTAAATAAGAGAAAATAACTAACACAGAGGCTAACTCGGTTAGCACATTTTGCACTACAATGCAAGATTGCATTGTAGTGCTTCATTTCCCTTTCAATGTTATCGTTTTTGTATTTTATTTTGAAAAACCGGAAATGCACCGCTCGCTTCTGTTCTGTTGCTTCACCAATGCTAACTGCATGAGAGTAAGATTGTTGCGGCATTATATTACGTATATTTTCGTTCATTTCAAATACGTATTCCATGTCTGTCGGAATGTATGCTAAGAAAATATTTTTAAATTGTCACAGTGTGTTTTTTTGCCAAATTTATTTGGCTAATGAAAAGTTTAGGGCGCCTTGATTTGAAATTGGTTAGCTAAATCTATGTTAACTGGTAGCGGCCATTTTGTAACGTCACCTTTCGGTTCTAGACAGTCAGACTGCGCGGTGTGGGCATGTCGAGACTAAAATGGTTAATTTTTGTCTATGACAGGCATGCTTATCTTGTTAAACGGTGTAGAATATGTTTTTGTACATTGTGTTAATGTGGAAACCTATAAAAGCCCATTTCTGCCACTCTGAAACAAAGGTTGGCTATGAGGTACTATCCCTCACAAATAAGTCGTCAGCTTTACAATGCTATTTTGTATATATTAATATTCATGCTTGTCATTTTGGATTACAGTAAATTCTGTCAAAGAAGCAAATGTCAGTGCATATAATTTGTGTCGTGTAAGTTTTAAAAATGTAAGTCTTATCTAAAGAAAATAAGCTCAGGCATGCTAGTCACTAGCCTCCAGGAAGACCGTGGTATGAGTTACTGCCAGGCTCTTTGCATAATATAATATGCACAGGAAGTGAGTGTCGTATTCAATTTTTGTGAACTGTAAAAATATTTGGGCACCAACATAATTTTGTGTTTCACTGTTTACCACAAAAACTTGAATTTAAGTCCCATCCCTCAGCTTTTAATTAGTGCAATGTTTTGTGCTCCGTGGTCCTTGAGCCCCCTCCTGCTCTGCATGTTTTACATGTTTTCCTGCTTCAACACACCTAATACAAATAAATGGGTCATCTCTTGGGCTTTTAATCAGGCTCTGCAGAAGTCTGATAATGATCCATTCATTTGAATCAGGTCTGCTGGAGAGGAGAAACATGCAGAATATGCAGTGTGGGAGGTCAGGATTCAGAAATGCTGGATTAAAGGGCAACAACATCCAAATTTCATATGTAGAATCATGTTTTGTGGTGTAAATCCTGACTCTGCTGTGAAAATTATGACAGATTAATTAGCATTGTGCTCAGTGTAACCTCTGCCATGCTACTATCTATCTATCTATCTATCTATATATATATATATATATATATATAATTATTTTTTTTCTCCCTGTTCACAAGTGACACCATGTAACAGTCATTTTAGACAGTCACTTAGAGGTTTACTCACTTTGGTTTTCAGCAGTTTTTTCACATTAATAGTTGTCTGAGTTGTGTGCTAGATGAGGCTAAATATAAAGGCATGCCACACTGTTCAAGTTTATTGTTTTAAATATTTTTCAAAATTCATTCATCTGCTTCCCTGAAATCCAAAATTAAGAGGTGTGAACACTTTTGGAAGCCTCTAATCATTCATCAGTCTTCAGTATTTTTCTTGTCCCAGCTATAATTCAGAGTTGTTTAATTGTTAGTGACATGGCGACTATTAAAAAACTAGAAACAAGATGTATGAGGCTGTTCAGGAGGCCTGTGTTCTGTGGAGGGGAATAAAATCCTTTAGTAGGAACTAGGGGCTGTGTAACATTGAAAACTTTTGCATGGCCAAAACTTAAATACGGCAGTAAAGGAAAAAAAAAGAAACAAAAAATCTCTTTATGAGCTCTTTAAATTTTTAAATTATGCAAAACAGCAGGTGCTTGGTTTTACTGGGCAGAGCCAATGAACAATCCTGGGGCTTTTTTTCTGTAAAATTAGCTATAAACCAGCTCCCTTAGAATCCAAAACAGAAGGAAAGTGGGTTTTTAATAAGGGTGGTGCACCATGCCATCATAACACTTAACATGTTTTAGTGTGAAAAAGGCAAACAATGCAGGAAGCTTTAATTTTATGAACAAATGTTTGTTGGTTATTTCTCAAACATCAGTCCACCTTCTGATGTTTCCATGTTGAATTTGTTCCTTGTTTTAGTTCAAAGAGTGCTTTTATTGAAATATTCCCTACGCAGCTCGCTGTGAGTTTAACTGTACATGTTAATTACAGGTGTGTTGACATCGTGTCTCTTTGTGCAAACTTATCTTCATGCCCCACAGCTCCCTCCAGTCCTACCCAAACGCCACTCTGTCTTCAACAGAGAGCATATTAGTCTCCATGGAAACCCATTTTTACCAATACTTCATTGGCGCCAAATGACCCTGTGCCGTTACTTAGCTTCTCGCTGCTTTGTGTGGACGTGTTTTCTTTTGGAGATTAAACGTTCCAAGGCAAATTGAGGTCTTGCTGGTTTTTATCGCCTGGATATTGAATAAGCATATGCGGGGAAATACCAGAACGAGGAACAGCAACACTCAGAATAAAAGCAGATTGATGTGTTCATGCGCTTCTTGGGGGCCCGGGGATAACGAGAAGTATAATGCCAGAGGAACTGCACAATTTTATCAGGTGGAAGCAGCGTGTGGAAGTTAGTGCCACAAGTAATTGGCTGTTAGGTGATATTTTACAAAACGAATAACCCTGGCTCTGTAGTACAACATGTCATAAAGCAAAATGTTTCTTCAAATTAGTTAGCAGACATTGAAGGGACAAATTGTACAGGCACACATGGTTTCAGTTGTGCCTCATAGTCTTTCTTCTTCTGCATTTTGCTTGAATTTATGTAAAATAAATCTAATTTATTCCCCAATTAGCGTTTGTATTGAGGTGTCACCAACAAAGTATTCTGGAGCCACGTGTAGACCTTTGCTGGACAATAAATTATCCCAGAAGTCATTGTGATAAATGATAATATTGTCGTTTTGAGACAATTTTAAAGTAATACGATGGTAATGACACAATATTGCAGGAAGATTTAACATGGAACTGGAAGACATTTTTAATAACCAAACTAAATAAAACAACAAACGAGAAATAAAATGAATTATGAAGTCTTTGTAAACAAAGGGGTAGTTGAAACAAAAAAAGAAGACTTTAGTCATCCAGTGTTTAGTAGAACAAGAAAAACGATAAATCATAGAAATGGAAATTATTGAGCTTCTTTTAATTTATCAACATGACCTATAAAGCAACAAACCGTCGGCACCAAACCGCAGCAGACCTGCAGAAAGTCCAGTGTCCCATTTGTTGCTGCTTGACCTTTTAGCATGAATATTAATGTTGGTTTTCAACTTGAAGCTTCAATTTATGGTCAAAAGTAATTAAATGTTGATTAGCGGTAAAGTTTAGAACCAGTTATGTCAGTTTTATAGTCCTCTGTGGATAATTTATTGTTGGTAAAATGGAATATTTCAAAATCTTCTCCCTTCATCACCTGTTGTCTTTACAGGGGGGATTCTAACCTCCTTTCCCCCCCAATAGTCCCAACTATAACCATGTTTGGCTTCCTGCTGCTTTTACAAGCCTGTTGTATTGAAGAATATTTGTTTTGCGGTTCCTTATGGAATATTTACGCTCTTTTCTTTCCCAAAATGTCTGCAGATAATTGCTTGGAAAGAATCACCCAGGAAGGTCAGCCAAGACTCCCGCTGTAGGTGCCAAAGTGAGATCTCCAGGACTACAATTACTCTGGCTGCAGAGCAAAGTGAATGACAGGTAGGAAATAATTCATATGAATCACCTGCTGTATTATGAATAGCCACCTGCCGAGAGGACATATCGCGGTCAGTTATCCGCAGAATTGCTTCTCAATTGCCCTTTTTTGTCATTTGTTGGTAATTGCCTTATTCTCTTGATAATATGATGAAATTAACCTCGGAACATTCCCTCCTTATGACATTTATGAGACAAGGTTGAAGTTGACGTCGTGGAAGTCACGAAATTATATTTAGATTATTGGACTCTGATGCCGCTTGGCTTCTTGTTTGATGTCGACACTTTAGATTGGTTCTCCTCGCTGCCACTCATAAGTCACACTCTCCATTTTAACAAAACATACAACATTCAAGCCGAACGAAGGACATCCTTTGAAGAAACTCAGGATCACTCACATGCATTTTCTATTTGGGGTACATCTGACCTTGTAGTGAACAGACATAAAAGGCTGTCAGTCAAACCATCACGCCGTCTTTGTTTCCTTGTGATTGTCATTCTCTAGAGGAGTCGAGCAGTTACAGACTTAAATCTAGCGATTCTGTGCTCCTGGCAAAATGCTTGTCTGTCCTTCTTTCTACCAAACTCAGCAACTGCCTCAGGGTAAGGTGGAAAGAAGGTGAAAACAAAAAAAAAAAGGAAAAAGTTGGGGAATGGATGTTTGAGCCGTTGGAGAATGCAATCAAGGCTAGCAGATTGTTGAATAGTTCAGTTTGTTTTTCTTTTTTTTTTTCCTGGATCAGTTCGATGTAACATGCTGACCTTCAAAAGGTTTTCCTGTCCAACTTGTAACAATGAATGTTTGCAGTTTAGAGTCAAATGGAGAGTAAATATCTGAGTTTCTCTGAGAACCCATGAACTGGAATGAAACTGTAGCTTCCAAGCAAAGTGGCTTCTCTTTAAATATGGAACAAAGCCAGATGGCAAAGTCAGCTCTGCAGAGAGGCGCTTCAGGTTTTAAAGAAAGGAGACCAGGGGACTTGTTCAGGTACCCAGCGATCACACACCTTTATGCTGCCTGGAAAAGTTTAGTTCTGGACTCCAGGAAGTGGGGTGGCTTTCGTTCAGGCTGTGGATGAAAGTGGAGCAGATTTTCATCACTTTGGGTTGGTCATGGAGTCTCACATGCTTTTTCTGAATCTGACAGTCTTCTAGCCCCGGGTGTTAAAAGGAACCTTTCTTTCATATGAACCCGTTTCAGCCTGACGTCACGCGTCTTCCTGCTGGAGAGCAAAAAGCTGCTAGTTGATGATGACTACCATTGGTGTTAGCTAAGTTCTCATTATACGCACTAAATCTTAAATGGACGCCTGCTGTATTAAAGAAAAGGGATGAAGTGCTTTGCTACTGATTGTCAACCTTACAACCAGATAATGAGGTCAGGAAAGTTTTATTAACACAAACATTAGCCAGGAAGATGGAAGTAGGTCAGGTATGCTAGTTTTGATAACCTTTACATGTAGATATGCTGTGGAATTTGTTGTTTTTTGGTTCAGTTACAAAATAAAAAATGATCAACACACCACTGACAGATCATCAGTGGAGCAGGTGTTTAAATTAGCTCATCTAACCCTACTTTGTTAGCTTAGCTTAGCGGTAGCTAATCTACCACAGCGATCACTTATTAATAATCGCAAAATAAACATTAAACCTAAAAGCATAAAACTGTAATGGACTGAATTTTCTGTTCTTTCTGCTGGAAATGTTTGAGTGTTTTTTGGTGTTGAATCCTGAAACGTGTAGTGGCATTGTTGTTAGTTGCTATGGCAACTAATCTGTGTATAGCGTAGCCGACACAGGAAGTGAGGAAAAAGCTGTTTTGAGTTGTTCTTTGATGGTTTTTCTGTGTTATTGTTCTCAACTCAGTCAAAATTGGGTAAAATCATTACATCTAGCTCACAATATGGGGAGATTTAAACACTCCAGATGGCAAGCAAATCAGAGGGATTTTCTTATTTTAATGAAGTCAACTAAAGAAAATCTAATCCATTTGACCAAAGCCTTGAAGTTGTTAATGTTGCAGATATGCAGCTGAGAAATAGAGGTGTTTTTGTAGCGTCTTTTGAACTTTGCTGGTAATTTTATAGATAACTGCTGTTGGTTTTGCTTTAAGCAACATCAGTTTTAAACGGTGGAGAATCTTCAGGTGGCTCCTCTTTCAAACTTTTACCAGAACAGTGGAGAAATAATCTGGAACTGTCTGGTTTCAAGTGAAAAACAGGTGCTAATGGTAAAATTAGTGTGTGGAATATAGGAGACATAAAAGAAATGTCTGTGATAGTAACATTTTTAACTGAGTTGGATCCTTTATTAGGAGTGCTACATGTGTAATATATGCAAACATAAATTACAATAATTAGTGCAATAATGTACATTTTCACACTTTTCCCACAAGTCATTATAGTCTCATTAGCTAATTTTACTCCCTCTACAAACCGTTGTCCATTTTGTTGATTACATTAATTTTTATGTACAGTCATAGCAGCGCTCTCTTGCTAATTACATAAGGAAGCAGCTGTTCTAATTTAACAATATTCCTAATTTTATAATAGGTTGACGTATGTAAGGCATTTTACCTCTGCTCTGCTTATCACAGCTTTGCTTTCAATGCTAAATTAATTTCTACAGTTGTACATTTACTTTATACCCCTGTGATCATAATGGAGAAATTTCTGGTTGCTGTAGAAATGTTTGTTTCAATGAATACTTTAATTTAAATCATTTATTTAATTTATAAGGGTATCTTATAAGCAGATTTGCATTCATTTTGGCCATTATTAATTATTATTATTAAAGATATGAACAAGTAAACGTATATTGGTTCATACTGATGTAACAAAATGTTTGCACTGGGTTCATCTTCTTTGATCAGAGTCTGATTGGTGATCAAAATAGTGACTTCTTAGGTTTTTTTTCCTCTGCATTAGTGGTAGGGTTATAAGACTAAAAGAAAATAATGCAATATTAACTTTGATTAACCCACATTTTCCTGACTTTTCTTTCCTTACCATGTCCCCTCCAGACTCTTTGATCTCGGCCATTAAGGCCAGTTGGCAGAATGCATCATTGATATGCGGAGCGTGAATACAGGACACGTGAAATATGGTTTGCTGCCAATTACTGCGTCCAAACAGTCCGCTGCATACATTGATATTGCGATTCAAAATAGGACTCAGCTCTAATTAAATGTTTTAAAACAAAGAATTCCCATTTGCAGTCCATAACTGCATCATAAAACAGCTGATGCAATGTTTTGATTCATAAAAGGGAATAAGCTTTTGATTCCATTTATGTTCTCTTAGGAATGGCATCTTTTATTCTTCCAACACAAGAAAAAATAAAAATCTGTAGATACGATTTCTGATCGGTGCCTCGCCAGAGATAAGCTCTTAATGTTGATTAAAAATACTTCTTGTTGCTCTTTACTGGCGAGGGATGCTTTTCATTCCTACACATTGATTAGATGTTTTAAAAAATCAGTTTGGATAAAGCTAGTAAGTGTTTTTCTTCTATAAAATAGGAAAGTATAACCTGTGTCCTTTTGAAACTTGTTTTAAAAATTGGTTTTCATGTTAATATCCCAAAACATGCTGCACTTGTTGCAGTAATCAAGTTAGAACTGATTCTGTTTCTATAGCTACACACAAATACATGTTAATTAATTCAGGCTGTATTTAAAGTCAGGATGTATTGGTGTGTGAAATCCTCATTATGAGAGAAAGATCTGGTCTAAAATGATCAAATAACGTTGGAACACTATCTGCTAAAACCTGCTAAAACAGCTGGAAGAAAAGAAGTGTGAAATTAAAGGGTGAAAAGAAGTGAAAGATGATTCTGTTCTGCTTGTTCTTCCAGGTGCCCAGAAAGTAAAAATACATTTAATAAGTTTGGCGCCTTTTTAAAAATGGGCTCATCATTAGAATGTGACCAGCAAGGGTCCAACGGTGAGAAAAAGGAAGAAGTTTAAAATTTCTTTGAACATTAAAAGTTGGCAGAAATAATTTGGGTCTTTTATTTTTCTTAGAGAAGGACTTCATATTCAGACTTGCAATAATAAGTAGTTAATTTTTCAGCTTCTTTTAGACACATTGGAGACGTTTCCAAGACAAATCTCAAAGCTTTCAGTCTCGAGTCTTTCGCCCCAAAGTGTAATCTAATGGTAAAATCTATGGATGCTGAACTCAGTAGGTTTAGGATCAGTGTACATTCAACTGTATGCACCCAATTCATGTGATTTTAGAGCTATTTAATATTTAGGAAGTGAAAAAAAAACACTTCAGACATCAAATTAATGGCAGTTATGCACCTGATTGCAGTAAGTAAACTTAATAGTTTTTATAAAATCACGTTTATGGAACGAAATAAAGGTGCAAAAATAAATGTATTCTATAGAGAAAAACAATTCCTAGTCCTGGGATTCCTGAATAAATTCAAAATGCTCAGAAATCCATCGTCCACTGTATATATATTTTGAATAATTCTTTAATGTTTTTTTTTATTTAAGAAAAAGCCATGCAGCTAAGCTAACCTAAAAATGGACAAACCTAATTTTGTTTAAATATAAACTGTTGTAATTTAAAACAGTTTGGAACCTTATAGGATTGTTTTAAATAAATGTTATGTTTGTTTACGCTGTTCCTCTCGTCAGTCTCATAATTTGGGCAGAATCTGTAGACCGTTTGAATAGAAAAATTGGTTTCTGAAATAAATCGGATCGCTAGACACTGAAAGATTCACATCTCTATTTTTTGGAGTAATTGAAGTTTTATGGTGTGTAGTCATCCCACACTATAAAAAAAGAACAGTTCATACATCATTTAAAAACCCCAACTTAATGGCATCTATGCACATTACTGCAGTATGTAAATTTGACCAGAGCTTTTATCAAATCACTTGATGCGTCAATGCTCTTGCAAATAACCTATTTATTAAATGAAATAAAACAAATATATGACTTAATAGTAGAAATATTCAGTTAAACTGGAAACTTAATCCTCAGTGTT